TGTTACCTTCTCTCCATGCAACCGCACTAAGAAAAGAAGATCTATCATTTCTTTAGGTGACAAAACTCCACTTTCTCAGGTTTTGAGTCCACCCACTTTCATAATCTTCTCTTTTCCTTACAAAATTAACCAAACAACAAACACTGAAGTGTGTTTGGGATAACTTAAAAATTGTTAAAAAGTTAAAGTTAACAATCAATTTTAACCGAATATATCATAAGATTCACAACTTTTATTAATTTTTCTATCGTATATTTATCGATTTTTATCAAAAGTTTTGTCAAACAACCATGCAGGGATAGTACATGCTCCACATCAGCTAAAGACTAGTCTATCTAAGAAGCCAGGAGAAGACGACCATACAATTGTGTATAGATCTTTATTTCAAGTAAGAAGGGAGGGCGCGGTGTCTCCTGGATGGATCACCAGGGCTAAGTTACAAAGTGTAGATGAAGTGCGTAGTGACATTGCATGGGGTGAAAAAAGAGAAGTTGAGAGAATAGGGTTAGTTTTGGAAGATTACATATGCAGAGATTTGATTGAAGAGTATGTTAAAGAGTCGATGAAATGTTTTTCTATGTATTCGCTCCCCCTCGAGGCTTGCAAGAGAAGACTTTTATTCTAATCTGTAGTTCGAGGTTAGAGGTGTTCTTTCTTTTTGTTTCTTGATTCTTTTTCGATTAATATGCACTTACAATTTTCGAAACAAGTATTTGAGTCGTTATGTTTTTAGTTCGAGATTTGAGTTTGATTTTTTATTTGTTCTATTTATGTTGTCTAGTACTCGTAATTGTCCAGCAAGTGTCCAAAATTGCTTCTTCTTTTTTATTTTTTCTACCTATTTGGGGGAGTATTTATTTCAATAATTTAATAAAATCTAATAGTTAATTTCTTGGATAATTAACTACATGTATTCCAGTTTGAAATAATAAATTCCATCTTCAAAAAAATTTACATTTCTTCGATTAATTAATTAATTAATTAATTTTTTGGGTGCCTTTCAATAAGTGGCCTTTTTACTCTATTAATTTAAAGAAAGTGGAAGGAAAAAAAAGATAAATTGGAGCAAATATAGAAAGAAATTGTTCAATGTTGAAAATAATGTTGATTTTAGTTAGGGGTCAGTTCGGTTTGGGCGGTTTGAGACAAATTTGCAAACCAAACCAAACCATTTCGATTTCTAAACCAAACAAATCCAGACCATTTTTTTTTTGACTCGGTTCGGTTTAAAAATATTGTTTAACAAAAAAGAAAATTAATATATATCAAATAAGTTAAAACATTAATATATTATTAAAAAAAAATTACAAATCAAAGTTATATAATTATAATCATTGTAATGCAACGACGTGATATAAATATTTTAAACTCTTAGTTGATACTAATGACTTCCATTTGGAATTGTAATACATGATTCATTTTCTTCATAAATATAAAAATATAGTATATGAATTCATTGATTGTAATTAAATGATATAAAATAATTAATAAAAGAAATTGAATAAAAAAATTCAAATATAATAATATCTAACTACTATGACTTTTTCTGAATCATTCAAAACTTCTACTCCATCTAAATATTGAAAAATTACTTTATGGGAGACCACAATTATTAGAATAAAACAACATAACTACCAATAGAAATATAAAAAAATTACCAAAAAATAAAAAAAAATTGGCCATCTAACTTGAATTTAAGCAAAATTTGAAAAAATTATTAGAAGGAAATGAAATGTGAACCTTTGAATTAAAATATATATTTTATTGTCTACTTAATTGTATGGAGAATCGGTGAATGTGGTTTAGCATCAGTTGTTCAACACTTTACCTAATTTGAGGGTTTTACATTCACATTTGTGATGACTCTTGAATATTTGGTTATGGTTAATTAATTAATAGAGATTTATAATGGTCGAATTGAGTTTAATTGAATTATGTCTAACATAGATGTATCTTTTTAACTGAAATGTGTTAAGTTTTAAGTAGCCCAAAAGACTAATTTATTTTCAAATTTTTTTGGTAAACAATTTGGTGGTTTGAAACGGTTTGTAAAGATTGAAACATATACCAAACCACTTAGAAGCGATTTGGTTCGGTTTAAAATCAAAATGTTGACGGATCCACATGGAACCAAGCCAACAGTTTCAGAAAAATGGTTTCGATTCAATTTTACAGTTTGATGATTTCGTTGTTCAACCCTAATTTTAGTAAACAAATTGGATGTATTTAATAGTCTATTCAAAGTTTTGTTTGACTTTCTTGTTTGAAATGGTCAAACAAAACTTTAAGAACAAAACAGAGCTGCCAGTTACCACCGGAGCTATAACACTTTCGAACAAACACAATGAGATCTATAACATAACGATGGCTAAATCTATAGAAAGAAATTTTTTTTTTTTTTTTTTTTTTTTTTTTTTTTTTTTTTTTTTTTTTTTTTTTTTTTTTTTTTTTTTTTTTTTTTTTTTTTTTTTTTTTTTTTTTTTTTTTTTAACGTGGCTAGCTCTTAGGCTTATACAAAACAGGTTGTTAAAGACTATCCATAGAAATGATTGACGAAAATAAAAAGAAATCATACACAATGAGTTGAATTTCTCAGATAAACGAAGAGTATTTGGACTTGTTAAAATTATTGCAATCTATACAATAAGTCAAGAATGTATATAATTGAAGAATATGACCTATCAAATCCAAAGACATAGATTATCTTCAACAAAAGATAGTTCAATGATACTGTATCAAGTTAATGCAGCTCGTATCATACAATTCAAGGGAACTATATCAAAGAAGACAAGACAAAATACATTTCTTTACGATTCTTTCATATACATGAGCTTAAAGAGATTGATAATATCGATATATTTGTTCAATTGATAATGGACTGAATTATTAGCATCGTCAACCTTTGCATTCAAAAAATTGTTACATGAGATATGAATGTATCGACTCAAATATCTTTGGTGATCAACATCAAGAGGAGCAGCTAACTTTTTTTTCCTTACCTTAGAATTTGTCCCACTGAAATTCTTTGGCAAGTTTTTAATGAGCAATACTTGTTTTAATCAATATTATCAAAATCAAATTTGGACCAAACGTTTCAACCTAAAAAATTGAGAATCGATCTAATATTTGGTTCAGTTAATGCTAAAAAACCATTTAATTTAAAATCGGTAAATTAGCCAATTAACTGTTAACCGGATGACCCATAACCAATTTTGCTGATTTTACCAATTGGCTAATTAGTTTAAAATTGTTGTTTTCAATTTTCAGCACAATAAATTGAAAACAATGAAAGGCTATAAATTGAATAAAAATGTTATTAAGTCCGGTTGCGGTTGTAATCCCAATTTATGTATGTAGTGTTAGGTGATGGATTAAATGAAATGTAAAATTAAACCCCCCTTTGGCCCTTCAGTTATCATCTAACCCTCGTTTGGCCCCCATTTTGTAGTAATGAAAATGAGTCAAATAATATTTTTTTTGAAAAATTAATGGTTGACAAAAAAGAGAGAGAAAGTTTTCAATTTATGTTTAATATTATTTTATGAAAGATTGTATGATTGAAAATAAAATAAAGAAAAATGAAATTAAAATTAATGGAGGTAATGTCATATTAGAGCTATATAAATTGTGAGTTTAATTCCAATGGAACTAAATAATATTACTTTTATTTATTTATTTATTGGCGAAAATATTTATAGCATGCATCATCAATGCATTTGAAATGAAATTCCGATGTGGGACTGAGAAAACTGATAAAGTAGTTTCCACTGCAATCTGCTCTTGTGAATAATTTTTCAATTATAAAATTTGAATAATTAAAGAGTTATGCTATTTAGCTTTTTTAGAGTTATAATCCCAATTTAATGGTGTTAACATAGTATTAAATAATAAGTTAAATGAAACGAGTTATTTAATTCCACATTTCATTTAATCTATCATTTAGCATCGCATTAGCGCGTACATAGATCATGGTTATAATACAACATTACTCTAAATTAAAAGGTAGTAGCTCTATCCCGATTTGACAACCATACTTTCAAAACTCTTTTTTATACATATTTTTTTTACTTGCACATTCACATAATAAAATATTCTTAATGTAATTTTTTTTTAAACTGTACATTCTTCTAAAAATTACTATTTAAAACTCCATTTTTTCAAAAGTATAGTTATCAAACATGGGCTAAAAAAGAGTGCAAGGATAATCATGTTGGTGTAAATTATCTCTCTTCAAATAATTTTCCTTTTTTTTTTCTTTTCATTTTCAACCCATTTTACGTTATCTTTCATTAAAATTTATTCTATTGATACAATAGAATACTATATAAATATCGAACAATTCACCATATGACAAAATAAAAATTACATATACTCAAATTTAATCATTAACGGGTGCTTTAATCTGTATTCATTATTAACTTAATTTTATCATTTTTGAGGCATATAATTTATTTATATATTACAACCGGTTCGATCTTTCAATCCTTGATCCTATAGTTTTTGGGGATCAACATCCGGATTGTTTTTCAAAACGTTGGTTTCAATACTAAAAAAATAATTGTACAATATATTCCTTCTTTTATATTTTTGTCCTACTGCTTTTTTATTAAAAATAATTTTTACCGAGACAAGTATTTGTAGTCATACTAGGAGAAGTGCTATAACTTAAATACTGATTATTGAATGACAATTGTAATCATACGGTCCTAATTATTATGTTTATAATACCTATGTAGCCCTAATTATTACATATAAATATAAAATTTTAATTTAATAAAATATTGTTTTCTTTCTAATTTATAACAAAAATTATTATCCCACCACCAAATCCATTAATTGCAATCTTTTTCCTTTCAAGTTTTAACCAATTATTGGCAATGTCTAGACTATAATGCCCATCATTTGTGACTAGGTCAAAATTTCTAAGTGGAGCAATTATATTAAAGAGTACTTGAGAAATTCCACCAAACTTTTTCAAAGGTCAAATGAATGGAAATATTTTTGTTGATTGAGACAAGTCTATTTTCATTTCATCTGCGCAAGTCCTAATCCACAAGGAAACAATCATTTTTTTCTTTCTTTCTTTTAGGACTAATAATGCAAATCCACCACTCCTATTTGTAGTCGAATTTCTCCGTATTAATGAAGGTCTCACGTAATTATATACATCGCATTTTCTTTTAGTCAAAATAAAATCGATTGATTTAACATTTTCCTTAACGATACATTTAACAACTAATAACCCATTTGGAGGCAATTTTCCTGTGCTAAGTAGAGGTTGCAGGTGGAGCCCGAATGTGAGAGGAGTGGTCAACTTTTGTTGCTCAAACGGTTGGAATTTCAATTTTAATCAAAGGAAGAAACAGGCAGGCACTAAAGGTTCATTTAGCATGATTTTTATTTTTAATATATATTAGAAAATTCCGTATCATTAACATACATGTCTTCAATATATTCAAATCCTTGCAATTTGACACCTAAAGAAGTAAGAAGTACATAACTCTCTGATAATGTATCTGCTAACACATTTTCTTTACCTTATTTGTACCAAATGACATATGGAAATGTTTCGATGAATCCTATCCACCTGTTTTCTGTAGAAGAGTTTTTTATAGACACAAGTGTCGAAACATCATTTAAAGATGAAAAATAAAATATAATACAAAGACGGATAAAATTTTTCCATTTCAAAATCCTGTATGAATTCTGTAAATTTTTCATGTACTCATAAA